AAGTTCAGCCAATTGACCAAAATGCTCAAAATTCAATTGCTTAATCCTTTCATACACCTGTCCAAGCATCTACACTCTTTCCAGAGCTCATTTCAAAGTTCCCACAAATTAGCTTTGAGGTTCTATCCCAACAATCCTAGGCAAGTTGTGAAGGTCTGTGCTATTTAAAAGTTTTAAACTTTTAATATGCAAATTTCATTTACTACTGCAGTACTCTTTGTGCAATATCTGCCTTCTCTACAATAAAAGAAATTCTGTCGTGCAAGCCAGGGCCCACCTATATATCCCAAGACATTTTTTTTTTCAAAACTTCCTATTGGTAACATGATTTATTCTGGTTGTCCGCTGCCTGAAGCACTGGTCACAAAATTGATCTTATGCAAGGCCTCAACTACAAATTTGTAACATGCTTATATGGCTACTTGACCAATGTCTAACATAAACTAACCTATCTGTTCTGGTAAAAGTTAGGCCAAATTTGATCTCATGCAAGGCCTCATCTACAAATCTTTTTTTTTTCGAAAGCGTGCTTAGCACGTGCTTCATTAAGGGAAGTGGGAATCAAGGTACACAACCCGAAGGCCTGGTTGGCGAGTTGCCATAGGCTCGACGGGTAGAACACATACAAAGATCACCGGCTCGAACGGTGGAGCAGCAAGGTCGTAGTGCTGGCTAGACTAATTGTGCGACAGAGAGCTAGGGGAAGCCCGCTAGGCAGTAGGCGTGAAGAGCGGCGCGAAGCTCCGGAAGCCGGCCGCTATCCAGTCGTTGGCTTCGTGACGGATAAGAGATACGAGCTCGGTCGGCGTCTTGCAGGAGGAGTCGAAGGTCCTTCTATTGCGTTCCTTCCAAACCTCCCAAGAAACAAGCAGCACCAAGGAGTCGAATCCCCGCCGGAAGGACTCGGGAACCCGCATCCGTTCCTGCTGCCACCAGTCGAGTAGAACGGACTCGTCGCTCGGGCAAAGATGCTGGAACCCGACACGCCACCAAGGTTCAGCGTGGCCATCAGCAGGTGACAGCTTCACAGTGACGGAGAAGCGGCGAACGCAGGAGCTGGAGACACTCCAGAGGTCTCGACGCCAGGAGGTTACTGCCCCTTCGGCCACGCCGATCGCAGGCAGACAAGCAAAATCAAAACCGGCTCCAGTAAGATCAGCGTTCATGGAGGCAGACAAGTTGGCGACTTTGACAAACGATGGAAGCTCGCTGTTGCTCGCCGACGTCACGCACTACGTTGCGGCGCGCACGGTTGTTCAGGCCGCGTGCATTCCAGACTAACAGGTGGTTCGTACTCATGGTAGAACGCTGTTGCGACGTATACCGCGGTGCTCGGCCAACCGCGCTATAGCTCCAGCCTCGCCAGGGTCCTCGCCCAGCGTGCGCCGCGCATGGGGACTAACATGCTTATATGGCTACTTGACCAATGTCCAACATAAGCTGACCTATCTGTTATGGTAAAAGTTAGCCTAACTTGTGAAAGTTACTGATATTGATTCATGAAGGGAAATTATATCTTTTATAAACGGAGATCACAAAATGGGATACTATCCATAGGAAGCTCTTAATTGAATATCCCGTGCTTTATTGAATCACTTGTTTTAACAAAAGCAATGTAATAAAACATGACACCATACCTTCATTGAATTAATAGGATGCCATAGAGAGGTAGAGTGCACTTGTAAAAGCTCCATCCAGCTAAAGAAGACTTGAAATGACTTTCTGAAGATATTTCAATAGGTGGGGGACAACCAAATGTCTCTGAATGCATTTGTATGTGACGACGTCTCTGTACATACGTGCATTTAGTCCATATCATTGAACGAAAACGCATCTGTACATGAACAACAATAATAAGCATTGTGCATCCCATATTTGCCAATAGAAATTGGCTTCAAAAGTTAATGGATTGAACTTTGAAACAATTGGATTTTGAGGTTACGAGTTAAATATATGTGCATTTAATCCATATCATTGAACGAAAACACCTCTGTACATGAACAACAATAAGGATTGTGCATCCCATATTTGCCATTAGAAACTGGCTTCAAAAGCTAATGGATTGAACTTTGAAACAATGGATTTCGTCTATTTGCGACCCATTTTGCACAAATTCAGCAAGCTCGCTTGCAATTTAAAAATTCCCCAATCTCAAACCATGTGTCTTGCTGAGCTCAAAATCCATGGAAAGAATGAAAATTAGCTCAAAGTGGAGCATAAAGCATAACTTTTTTTTTTGAGAATCGCATAAAACACAACTAGAAACTCGGACATCAGGATCAAGAAAGATGAGCTCTGGCAGAGCCCAAATAGGCCCAAGTTGATCTAACTTGTGGGCCTTGAGTGGGTTGGCTTGGACCCCCATCTTTGCCCTCACGTATCCACATTTTATGAATGTCGAGTCATCTCTATCTATGAATCCTGCACCAAATCGTGGACAGTGGATAGAGCCACGTAACTCATTAACCCGCTAGCTGCTAGATCCAGCAAAGACGTGATATGAGCCATTCGATCGGGTTTGTAGCGGATCTCAATCATTAAGCCACGAATCCAGAATCTCGTGAATGCTCACGAACCTGGTCGTCCCCTCCGCCTCTCCACAGACCGTGCTCAACTTCGCCTGCCACGGCATGCGCATCCCTCGCCCAACATCCCTCCGTCATCCTCCCTTCTACCTAGACAGCATGACACGGACTAGGCCACAGGCGCCATGCTGGCTTGTGCATGGCCAGCTGACCTCTGGCTGATGTGGCGCGGGCCAGCGACGGCGGTGAAGGGTGCACTACTAGATTATATATTTGCAGAGACGGTCAAGAACCAATAACGAAGGCGCGCAAGCTAAACGCCTCTAGTCAAATCTTCGTTTGTCTTATCACGCTGGCTCCGCCCAGAATTCGTTTTCTCAAAGAAAAAGGTTCAGTGATTCAACTGCTTAAGCAGACAATTGCATCCACTTTCAGAAAAAAGAATCATAGTGGGCAAATAGGGTTATAGGGAGAACATGTCCTACAACTGATTCAACTTTTACTACTATGATGAACAACATGGATGCAAACTTTTACCGCATGCCCCAAACTAAGGGGATTGAGAGAGATTGAAGGGGATTAAATCCCCTACAAATTAAAATCCCCCTCAACCCCTTCCAATCCCCTTTAGACCTTGTTTGGATGCATGTGGAGAATGGAATGAAATTTAGTTCAATTTCACTCCAGTACACGTGGATTGAGATGAATACATGCGTATCTAAACAAGGCCTTAATCCCTTTCATTTTGAGAACAAACGAACAAAGCCTTAACGGGGTTTCCCATTTTCAATTGGATGTAGAGTCATTCCAATCATATCCACACATCTGCACTCCGTGTTGCTGCTGCAGCCTCACAAATTCAATTCAAGGTGTTCAAACAACACCCACTCGAGCCTGTCCAAAATCTCTACTCTTCTGAACAGAAACTACAACACTTCAAAGCAAAAATACCCTACAATTCGTTCATTCCACATTTCGGTTTCTTTTCATACCGCAGATGTCAAGTATGGTAGTAAGAAATTACTAAGTTGTCTAAAACTGTGTCTCCAATATCTCCAGGGGTTGCTGCAGGACGGCCAACAGATTGTCGAGAAGAAGCTCTTGATGGTGCGGTCGTGGCAAGGCATGCGCGAGTTCCTGAACGAGGTCTAGCTTCTGCTCAAGGTACAGGACTGGAACTTGTGTCTCTGCTTGGCTGCCATGTTTCTTCTGATCAGAAGATGCTCATCGAGCCTCGACCACATTCTCATCAGTAAGAGCTCCTCTTGTCTCTTTTGTATGTATATTGCTCAGAATTGGTTGCATCAATGCTATTGCTGATTATGTCCAAAATAAAAATGATATCTCAAACTCGTTCTTTTGACCATATTATTAAACTTTGCAACACAATCAACTGAGAAACTATCTTGCTTTAGATTCCATATATTGATGATCAATGCCTATTCCCTGTAGTTCAGCTTTTTTTCCCTATTGGCAAGCTAGGAATCACTATCTGACGTTATACCTGGGGTCTTTGCAACCTTTTTATCAGTTATTGCTATATGAAATCTATCCTCCCTCCTAACTTCAGTTTTTTTTTTTATATACCAACAGAGCTCAAAGAATTTGGACTTCACCTGTAGTATCTCAAGGAGTTCCGTTCTGTGAAATAAAAGCAAAATCGTCTCTGCCAATAAAGCAAGCAGGTAGCAAACTCCTATACAAGGAATGATTTAGGTACAACACTGACCTGGACAAGCCATAGAATGATACAGTACTCATGTACTTCAACATCCTTGGAATGATATTTTGAGGAAATGTCTGAACTCCTAATTATGCTTTTGCTGTGAATATTAACCATGAGAACTTAGCTTAACTTCAAAATCCGTGTATATCAGTAATGGATGATCTCTTAGTTCAACCTTTCATTGTAAATGTAAGGACTAACTCCAGGGTACTAACTGCACTAAACCTTTTGCTATAAATATTAGCACTATTAATTCACTTGGTAAAATTTAATGTTCAAATCAAGTACTAATAGAAGGCAAGATACAAACGATAGGCTGACACACTCCAAGAAGGGCGCGGCAAAGCCGTGCCACCCTGTTCGCTTGATCGTATCAGCCCCTTATTAGCCATGATACAATGTTTTTCTCTCACAACAAAACAGCATCAGCCGGCTTATAAGCCACAGAAACGATCAAGCAAACAGGGTGCTAGTTGTTACTTAAGGCATCAATCACTCGAAGATTTAGAAAGATTATTATCACAAGATCAACTCAAGATTACGTTAAGAATGACAATTGCACTTTGTATTATCACTTCATACAATAAGGATGCATGCCAGCAGCGTCCTATCTTTCAAAAATAGAAAGAAACTAAACCCTTCAGATTCATGCGTTGTTGCAACATACTGAAGAACAATTTATTAATTTCATACAAATGAACACAACAAGTATCTATAAAAAAATGAAGTTTCAGTTGATAACCAGTTAATCACTCGCCTGGAGTTGTACTGAAACAAAAAAGATCCTAGTCCATAGAATTATTATATATAATTATGAAGCTTGAAAGGTACCTTTTGAAACACAGAACACTTAAAGATGCACAAATTATCTTCAGAAAACAGAAAAAAGAAAGAAAAAGAGATGCACATCATGTATGTTGGGTAACTGAGTTCATTAAGATTAAACTAGTAGCATACATAAAGCTGGCTTACATGGATACATCAGTTGGCTAATTTAACTAGACAAAGCATCATATGACATCCGATCCAGGCAACCAAAAAAAAAGCATGACCCAATTCTAGTAGATCTATCCAAGTTGCCATCTGCTTCATACTTAGGAGTTAGCAGATCTAATTATTGTTGAAGATCCAAAGAGTACCCACAAGCTAACAATTTCAGTGCTTCATAACGACTTGAAGGAGGGAACATACGGGGTAACATAACAACCGTGCCCTAGTAGAGTGCACAAAACACACACTTCCCTGCTATCCATGTCGTATGATATTAGTGACCGGTCCAAGCACTGAGCAAAGAAGATCAAATTGCGATCTGTATGAACGCCGGCAAAAACACATCCAAAGCACGCGCTATAATCCATTCCTTCAAACAGCTGCGAAAAGCTCACACTGTGCTTCAGAACCCATTCTTCTGTATCATAGTCCTCGAGAACCCAGATTAACAGTCCAGGGTCGTCATGATCACTACTGATACAATGAAGGCGCCCCTGTGATTGACCAATAAAAGCAACTTGAGGAAATGGACGCTGATCTGGCCAGCGGATAACCCTGCATTTCTTTGCTTGTCCATCCACTGCAACTATTTCATACAAATAGTGCCATGGTTTGTAGATGAGAAAATGCAGCATGCCATTGACAAAGGCCCTGCCATGCCTGGGTTTTTCTATGGTTCCATAGCCTCCCCAATTCCCCCATCCACCTCCACCATACAATTCACTTGACCTGTCATTCCACAACCCAGTTCCAGACGAGTAGATGTGCACGGCTTCTACATCTTCTTCCGCCATTTCATCCTGCCAGAACTGCACTAGTTCGAAGTGCGAGGAGACGGATGGGTCGAAGATGAGAAAGGTGCGCACGGCTTTCTCACGTTCGTCCACAATTTCTTGTGGTGGAGTCGGACTCCAGCCGGTGGAGGGTACCGCCACCCACTGCTCGGTGACAGGGTTGCACACGATGTAGCCCAGAGAGTCGAATGTGTCTGAAACCCGGCTGTGTCCAAAAAGGAGGAGGCCGTTGAGGAATCCAGGAGCTCGATAGCCTGGATGCCCGGCTGCTCCTTCAGGAAGGTGAATGAGGGGTCCAGGAGTGGCATGGTTTTACCTAGCAGGTAGATGAAACGCCCATTGCCGTGGCGAAGCAGCATCCCGTCGCGGCTGCTGGCGCGATCTCCGCCGTTGGCATCAGCAGAACCATCGCTGCTGCCGTCCCCGCCTCCGCGGCTTCCGACGCCGAAGTAGAGGAACCCTTGCAGGGTCTGGGGGAGATCCTTGCAGCAGAGGCGGTCGGCGATGAGGTCGCGCCAGGGTTCGGAGACGCACTTGCATCGGCAGAGCGACTTGGCTCGGAGGCGCGAGAGGATCTCCACGATGGCGTCGTCGGGGAGGCGGGGCACCGCGAGCGAGCTGCTATCAGATCCATCCATGCCGCTGCCTGCCGAGTGCCGAGGGGGATGGGTGATGAGCACTGCACGGGGGCGTGAAAGAGAGACAGAGAGAAAAACGGCGCACCGTGGGTTTCCCCGTGGGTGGAGGGGGAGGACGAGCTCATCGGCTTCCGGAATCCGGAGAGGTTGGGCGGCCGTTGGGGTGATCGTCGAGCGCAGCGCCAGCCAGTGACTGATGCTCTTTCTTTTTTAATAGCCAGTGACTGAGTTTGAGGAGGAGGAAGAGACGAGCAGAATTTATGTTTGGGCTGATGGGCTGGGACCTGGGAGTAGCCGACTCCGGCGTGCCCCCTCATTCATTTTTCTTTTATTAGGCGCGCACCCCAAGACGCAGGTTCGTAAAAACTCGATCAATGGGCCTGTTGGCTTCAAGTGAAAGCCATCTAAAATCACCTGGTCAGCCCACAGCCCACTAAAATCACCTGGTCAGCCCAGGCGGACGCCACCCAGCTGCCACACGCGCGCCACTTCGGCACGGCCCAAAAGGACCAGCCGCCGCCGGCGGAACCCCACGCCGCTCAATCCAGCCTCCGCCTCGCCGCCGCCGCCGCCTGTGACGCTCCGGGCGCGCCGCGTCCATCAGCCATGGCCCCCCTCGTCCGCGCGCTCCGGAGCCTCGGCCAGGCGGCGGCCGCGCGGGAGGGCCCTCTCCTCGCGTGGCTCTCCTCCTCGAGGTCGGCCGCCTTCTCCTCTTCCTCCTCGGCGCCGCCGGAGTACGACATGCCGTCGGTGACGTGGGGCGTGATCCAGGGGCGCAAGGAGCGCCTCGTCTCCCGCGTTCTGGCGCTCGACTTCCTCCGCTCCGCGGGCGTCTCCGACCCCGCCGGCGAGCTCGAGGCGGTCGAGCTCCCCTCCTCCCTCGAGGTGCTCCAGGAGCGCCTCGACTTCCTCCTCCGCCTCGGCCTCTCCACCGACGACCTGTCCAATTACCCGCTCCTACTCGCCTGCTCCCTCCGGAAGAACGTCATCCCCGTCCTCTCCTACCTCGAGAAGCTCGGCGTCACGCGCGCCCGCCTCGCCGCCTTCGTCCGCGCCTACCCGGCCTGCCTCCACGCCTCCGTCGCCGTCGACCTCGCTCCCATGGTCAAGGCGCTCCGTGGCCTGGACGTTGATCGCCAGGACCTTCCCCGCGTGCTTGAGCGGTACCCCGACGTCCTGGGGCTCAAACCCGACGGCACAATCAGCACCTCCGTCGCTTACCTCATCGGCATCGTCGGCGTGGCGCCACGAGACATTGGTCCCATGGTAACGCACTTCCCTTTCTTCCTTGGCATGAGGGTTGGCACTACCATCAAGCCGTTCTGCGACTACATCACGTCCCTCGGGCTGCCCATGCGGATCCTGGCGAGGATCCTAGAGAAGCGACCGTACATTCTCGGCTATGATCTTGAGGAAACGGTCAAACCAAACGTGGAGGCATTGCTCAGCTTTGGCATTCAGAAGGAGGCCCTGCCATTGGTGATTGCACAGTACCCACCTATACTCGGGCTGCCACTGAAAGCGAAGCTAGCAGCACAACAGTACTTCTTCAACTTGATGCTCCAGATCGACCCAGATGGGTTTGCCCGTGCTGTTGAGAAGTTGCCACAGCTTGTAAGCTTAAATCAGAATGTGATATTGAAGCCGGTGGAGTTCCTCCGTGGACGAGGGATCTCCAATGAGGATGTTGCTCGGATGGTGGTCCGCTGTCCTCATATTCTACTGCTGCGAATTGAGCTCATGAAGAACAGTTTGTATTTCTTCAAGAGTGAGATGAAGAGACCAATGAGTGAATTGTTAGAATACCCAGAATATTTTACTTACAGCTTGGAGTCAAGAATCAAGCCTAGGTATATGAGAGTTACAAGTAAGGGGATTAAGTGTAGCTTGGATTGGTTTCTGAACTGCAGTGATATGAGGTTTGAGGACAGGATGCAAGGGGATTTTATTGAAGGGGATGCACCAGGACCTTCGTTTACGATGGGTGGGAAGCTTCAGATGCCAGGCAGCCAGCTAGTGTCAGATGATGATAACGGGGATACCGATGATGAGGTGCTATATAGGCGGACGGTCATGATCTAGTGAGTGTAATTTATTTTTTGTTGGTTTTCTTTAAACAAGGCCTTAGCTGCAGTAGCTTTTGTGATGATTCATGAAATTACAAAAATTGCCCATTTTTTGTTACAGATTTGGTGGAAGATAATCCCAAAGGTCTTTCATGTCATGTTTCCTGCAGTATCATATAAGCAAGTAAGTACTGGTTTAGGAGCTGTTCGGCTGATGGTTTCTGCGGCTGATAAGCTGGCTGGAATTGATTTGTTGTGTGAGAAAAACACTGTTCCATTTGCTTTTTTTCTTCAACATGTCAAAGAATATCTATTCTAGTTCTGAACTTCTGATAGTTAGGGCTTGTTTGTTTTAGCTCTGGATTCTTAAATGCTAATTATAGGTTGTAGGGTATAAAGGGCCGGACCCTTAAAAGCTGTAAGCTGAAGGATGTAGCTTGTGGATTGTGGTGTAGAAAGGGGTTTGATTCAACCCATTTGTTTTAGCTTTAGCGTTTGAAACCAGAATCCACAATCTAAAGCTAAAACAATTGGGCCCTTAGAGGAGAAATGTACGGGCAAACAATAAGCTAGAGTGGCTCCATAGCAGAGAATTAGATTATGAAAGGGCAATAAGCTGCTGTTAGAAATGTATAGAATAACAATGTTTGCTACCGTGCTATTCTGAAATGGTCAAATGGTGCACTGACACAAAAGTTTACTACACAAGTCATTAGGCATGTGAGAACAGAGATGACAAAACTAAGTGTACGTTGTCAACACCCTCGTGGCAGTTTTTGTACTGTTCAATAGAATATAGTCTGGGGTTTTAATCATAAATTATAATTGTACAAAATTTTGAAGTTAATTCTAATTTGTTGCCTAATTTTTCAAGGTTTAAAGTTTATACTACTACTATAAGCCAATTGTATAGTAGCTTGTTTGCATTTAAAATATAAATATGTTAACTATGTAGGCATCCTCACATGCTAGGTGATAAGACACCAGAACATGATTGATGGAGCGTTCTCTTGGCACCAGCTACGGTAGTCTGAGTACTGCCATAGCAACAACTCGGAGACATTATAACGACTCTGATGGTACTCGGGCACAACCTTTGATCATATGCCCCATTGATGAAAGCGGGAGGTCCATTGAAAATGTAATCAGGAGATTGAAGAGTTGTAGTAAAACGGATATGACGCGCTGGTAACAAAAATCTCCTTCCAGCTGAACAGGTGATTGTTTCATTGATTAATCAATGCTACTCTAAGACAGGTCAGGGGGTGATCATACAGTAGGCTCAGATATTTGTAGCATGTGCACTATCTACTATTTGTAACTGAAATTTCCCACATAACTTTTACCCTATGAAATAGAACCTCATGTACAGCTCGATTGTGTTCCATGAAACCATCTTGCCATGGCCTATTAATTTATTACTATGCTCATGATTTTCTTGAAAATTTGGTGTTAAATGCACTGTGGACATTTCTGAGCTTCTGACTGTTCAAAGCATCGTGACATCTTTTGATCTAAGTACAGTAATACACTTGGGTTCATCCAATCTTAATTTCAAGTCAGAAGCGAAGATAGATTGATGATCTACTGAAGTTATGTAATTTGGTGCACAGTTGCTCTCCTTTCTGGTGTGTCGTCCTAGTCCTAGTACAGGTGGTGGAACTTCTTCTAAATTGTGTTTTCTTTGTAACGAATGATCGAGCTACTGACATACTTGTCGTGGAGAGAGAGAGAGAGAGAGCTATAAGCTATTCCTCCTGCAGTCTGCAATTGGTAGTTGTGTTCTGCATAATTTTTTCTCCTTTGGAAAGACCAAGTTCTGCACAGCAATAGCTGCATAAGCCTCAACAAATGTTCAGGTGCTGCAGATATTTCCATTGAACATGTAATTGCTGGAGATAACATAGGTACTCCCTCCATCCCAATTTATAAGTCGTTTTGATTTTTTTGGTACATCTACTTTGCTATGTACCTAGATGCTTCGTATAATATATGTTTAGATACATAGCAAATTCAATGTGCCCAAAAAATCGAAGTGACTTATAATTTGGAATCGAGAGGGAGTATTGTTCCGAACATGGTTATCAGTTATTATAGAAACAGAACGCATGGAATGATGGAAGGAGAAAGCTCTAATCATTTATAGTAACTCGTTAAGCTATTAGTCAGCCAGTCAATCCAGTCGGAAGTTAGGTTAGCAAAACTTTCAACGCTGGTAATCTGCCAAAAATCGATATAGTTAGTGAGGATTTCATCCAAAGCTAATTTTTTTGGTTCATATTATGAGATCCGAAGAAGCTAGTTTTGCGGTTCTCAACTTCTTATGACATGCGAAGGACACTAATGGAGTGTTTGGTCCGAAGAATCGATCCATTCTAGATAGAGTGATGCATCATGAGTCTAGTTCTTAAATATAGTGGAATAATAACTTCATTCATCAATTAGTATTATTTATTAGTTTGTGAGAAATGAGGTGGTGATTTATCAACTTATTCGGTTATTCCATTCAATAAACCAAACAGAAAAACTAAAGAGAGATGAGATGGACTACTTCGTTCCAAGAAAAACACCCTCTAAAACAGCTTATAACTATTTACTCCAACTAAATTGAGGCCCAGGATGTTCTTATATATGTCAGCTATCTCAAAATTTGGTCGCATGTAATTTTTTATGGGTTGAGCTTAATTTTACTGGAAATGATATGCGTAGATTTGTTCAAAATGTAGCTTTCATAATTTTTTCGCTAAATTGTAAGGTATTCTTGTGAATTAATTCTCACATAAACACGCGGGATCATATGTCTACCACAAGACTCAGAAGTATGGTAGGCACAAGATGACCCAAACAAAATAGGCTTATTATATGCGTCAATTGCTTTGCCTCATAATTTGTCATAAAGTTACAAAAATGTTTTGTATTTTAGGACGAATGGAGTAAAAAAAGTAGTTTTATGATAATACTTTTAGTAAAGTTGTGTTAATTTGGAGTACCGTTAATGTCCAAATCAGGGTGTACTTTCTCCCTTAGGGCTCGTTCAGTTAGCATAATCTTCTTTAGGCTGCGTTCGGTTATTTCGGATTTGGCTCAGGAACTGTTCCAGCTTATAAAAAATATACAAATTTGTGAACCCATTCCAACTAGAATTATTCCTGGGACCGAATCCACAACAACCGAATGAGCCCATATTCAAATTAAGTTACCTGATCCAGCTGGATTTTTTCCAATGAGCCATTCCCTAATAACCGGGCCCTTAAGCCAACATGGATGAACTAGCCCCGCAAAAAGGCACTGTGCCAGCTCTATAAATAAAACCCCCTTTTCTCTTGCACGCTGTACCATGCAGCTAACGACTCGAGACGTACACAACAGCTAAAGCTACAAGTTTCCTGTGGACAACGAGCAAGGGCAGTCTGGGCAGGTCAGCTAGAAGCCTACTAGAACAATGGCAACGTTTGGTAGGGCAAGACCTGCTCTGCCAGTAGTCGCATGGTCTTGCGCCATGGCCACGGCACTGGCTCTCGCGACGGTGGTGCCTGTTACGTCCGGAAAGGGAGACGAGGCGGCCGTCGTCTCAGGGATCGCGGCCACCTGGGCGGCGTCCAGTGCGAACGTCACGTTGCTCTGCCGGTCGACGCCGTACCCGCACGCGTGCGAGACCGCGCTCACGTCGGCGGAGGCGCGGTCGGCGCGGGACTCGTTCGCGGCGTCCGTCCAGTTCGCGATGGCTCGGGTGACGACGGCGCGCGCGCTGGCGCGGAACCTCTCCGCGTCCGCGTCCGCAGCGCCGCCCGCGCCGGCGCCGTCGGGCATGCACGACTGCGCCGAGCTGCTCGGCATCAGCCTCGCGCAGCTCCGCGACGCGCTCGCGGGGTCCGCGGCCGACGCGGACGGGGCCACGACGTGGCTCAGCGCCGCGCTGACGAACCAGGGCACCTGCCGCGACAGCCTAGCCTCCGTGCCGATGCCGGACGATCCCGTGGGCAGCGACGACGTGCGCAGGCAGGTGGCCGCGCTCGCGCGGTTCATCAGCACCGCGCTGGCGCTGCACGTCAGGAAGGTCAAGGGCGGGAGCGGCGTCCCGCCATCCACCGCGGCCGCCGCGCCGTCACATGAAGGCGCCACGTTCCCGTCCTGGCTGTCCGAGCACGACAGGAGGCTCCTGGAGTCGCCGTCCCCGGCGACCACCAACGACATCGTCGTCACGCCGGACGCCGTGGTGGCGCTGGACGGCAGCGGGACGCACACGAGCATCAACGAGGCGATCGCCGACGTCACGGCGGAGGTGGGCACCGAGGCGAGCGGCGGCCGTGGAGTAGGGGTCTCCAGGAGGAGGAAGGTGATTCACGTGAAGGCCGGGCGGTACGAGGAGAGCGTGAGCATCTCGTACCAGCAGGCGAACGTGATGCTGGTGGGCGACGGCAAGGGGAAGACGATCATCGACGGCGACAGGAGCGTCGCCGGTGGATACACCACCTGGTCCTCCGCCACCGTCGGTACGTACTACATGGCACATGCACGCATGCATGCCTGCATCACAGCATCAGCCCTTTGCACGAGCACGTACCTAGTCTTTTGATTGAAGTGCAATCAATAGCTTAAACTGGATCTCCCAAAAGGCACGACAACTACCAATTGAAAGGCATCGTCGAAGCTTTATTAATACTCCTATTTAATAGCCACTCGGCCACTCGTCTAAAGTATACTAGTACCTCCAAAAATCCGTTGTTTTAGTTTTTGTACTAGAGCATCTCCATGAGACTTATACATGGCCAAACGACCGCCCACACGGCACGCCACTGGCACGCCGGGGCACGGCACGACGGGGCATGGCGGCGCTGCCGTGCCATGCGGCGTGGTGCCGCCGTACTGGCATCCCGGCCCAGGCATGGCACTATAGGCTATTAGCTGTGCCGTGCCGTACCACTGGACACGGCAGCCCGTGCATGCCCGTGCCGCTCCTGGCCCAACGCAGCGAGGCCATCGCGCAGCCGCTTCCTCGCTGAGGCCGTTGCGTCGCACGTCGAGGCCGCTCACGCTCTCCTGCTCATCAACACAGAGGCCATTGTGTCGCCGCGCCGCCACACTGAGGTCGCCGTGCAGCTCCCCCACATCGCTGCAGACCTCGCGCCGCTGTCGTCTTCCACTCCGCTATTGACCTGGGGAGCATAGGAGCCACCGCTAGAGCTACTGCGTCTCGCCGCCGCCCCTGGAGCCGCTGTAGTGAAGGAGGCCATGAGGCTGCTGTGGGAGGGAATGGGGAACCGGGAGCGGCGGCCTGGGAGGGAAGATGCGGGGAGCGGCGGCTAGGAGGGAAGACGCGGGGAGCGGCGGCCTGGAGCGAAGTCGTGTCCCGCGCGCGTGTCGGAGGAAATGGCGGGGTGAGGAACTGAGGATGGGAACTCAGAGGTGTGGGGGATTAGTTTTAAACCTAGGGTTTCACCAACGGCTGATATTCATCAAAAGAGGATCCAACGATTGGAAATAGCCGGGCCGCATCATGCCGGCCCAAAAACCGTGCCGTGCCCGGGCCGGCACTACGGGCCGGTGAGGCGGCCTAGGCACGGGCACGATGTCGGGCCGGGCCAGGCACGGGCACGAGGAAGGTCGTGCCGCCCCGGGCCAGTGCTGTGCTTTTTCGACCGGGCCCGTGCTAGCCCAGCGGGCCTGGCCCATCTGGACATATATAATGAGACTCTCCATATCCTTCCTAAATGCTAGGAAAAGAGATTTTGGTGAAAAACTACCCTCCAACAGCTCATCTAAATGGCTATCCAAATATAGTTATCTTCTATTCCAGTTTTTTTGCTAGCAAAAAATAGAAGACGAGAATAGCTCCCTAGAGTGCGTATGAGATATAGAAGAACTGTTGGAGAATGAAACGGTATAGAAAACGATCTTTATGCAAATAACTCTCCAAATAATGATTTAGAGAGTGAGACTTAGAAAGGCTCCTGGAGATGCTCTAAGATAAATTTCTTGTAACTCTGACCAAGTGTATAGAACCTAAAGTTTGATTCTTTAAATCCATTTATTAAATATATCTTGATGGTGGATTTACTTGTTAGTGTAGATAACGTATGTCTTGATGTTTCTAAACTATACTCTAATTCCCTGTAGTTTTGTTATAATTCAAACTTATCTAACGTTGACCAAACTTTTGAAAATAAATTAGCATGTACAAACTCAAGTAAATGCATTAACAATATTTCATGGAGAATCAACAAAACTAAATTTGGCGTTCAGATGCTTGTGTATTCTTCTAATGGTTAAAATTAAATAAGTTTAGCTTAGTATAAAGCTAAAGTGAATTATAATTTGGAACAGAGGCCGTATTTTTCTAAAAAATATAGTTTAAGGTTACAAGTCATTGACTTTGGACAAAACTAAAAAGATCTACAATTTAGAGTGGATGAAGTAGCGTACACCCTCTGTCCCAAATAATTAAGCGCATATCTCGTATTCCATTAAATCAACCAAACTTAAATTTGATTAAAGTTTATAGAAATTGTATCAACAGTTATGTCTTAAATAGATTAACTATAAAAAATATATATTACACTACACATATTTGGTATCATAAATGGTATTAGTATTTTTAATATATTTTATCAGAGTTGAAATTAACATAAAATTAGTTGACTTTTTAAAAATGAGATCGTGCACTCTTTTTGGGGACGGATGGAGTACAGCTACTAATGGTTGCACTATGAGCACCAGCAAATGCAAGGAGTGTGATGCTTCTTTCTTCACCACCGTGCCTTAGCAAGTTTTTCGTTAAGAGGAGGAAGCAAATAATTGTGACAGCTAGTTAGCGACCTGTAATCCTTGACTTACCGGTAGTTAAGGAGTATTCCGGGCAGGATAATTGTGACAGCTAGCCTTCCAACTAAACTCCTAGCTTAGGATGGAGACCGGCTAGAGATAGGCTAGCGACCGCAATTGAGAGATGCATGATCCAGATGCTTCACTTGCCATGTCGTTGTTCTTGTTCACGATCACATCTGAATGCCGTTCTCGACACGACAGCATCGTATAGTACACTCCATTGGCTTTTGTGATAGTAGATAATTTGACTGGGTCCATATGATGCATGCATGCAGCTGCCATGGGCGCGGGCTTCATCGCCAAGGGCGTGAGCATCCTCAACAGCGCCGGGCCGGGGCAGGGCCAGGCGGTGGCGCTGCTGGTGAGCGGCGACCGCTCCGTGGTGTACCAGTGCGAGGTGAAGGGCCACCAAGACACGCTCTTCGCGCACTCTAACCGCCAGTTCTACGCCGACAGCGACATCTCCGGCACGGTGGACTTCGTCTTCGGCAACGCCGCCGCAGTGCTGCAGCGCTGCAACATCCAAGCCAGGAGGCCCCGACAGGGGCAGCAGGACGTCGTCACGGCGCAGGGCCGCGCCGACCCGAACCAGAACACGGGGTTCTCCATCCACCAGTGCCGGGTCACCGGCGCGCCGGACCTTGGGGAGACGCCGGTGTACCTCGGCCGCCCGTGGCGGAGGTACGCGCGGGTGGCCGTCATGGCGACCGCACTCGACGGCTCCGTCGCGCCGGCCGGGTGGCTGCAGTGGTCGGGCCAGACCGCGCCCGCCACGCTCTACTACGGGGAGTACCGGAACACCGGCGCCGGCGCGGCGACGGCCGGACGGGTGACGTGGACTGGCGTGCACACGTCGATGTCCACGGAGGATGCCACGGGGTTCACCGTGGCGAATTTCATCATGGGAGATTCGTGGTTGGATGCCACTGGAGTGAAGTATACTTCGGGACTGTAATTAAGGAACGTTGTCATATATGTATAACCTCCTGCTAGTGTTATCGTCCATGCTAGTTCACATCACATCTCTATATGTTTTTATTAGACACTTTTGGATATAAGAACATAAACAGTTTGGTCTGGTACTTCAGAAAACAACACGAACTTACTCTCGTGTACTGAAAGTCGATGTATACTATCCTATACTCATGTAAATAAACGAACTAGAAATATTGCTGAACTCCAGATAGCTGATCGCTCCGTCGTCTTATTCTTGTGGTTGCTGTCACACGAAAGAACTCCAGACAGCTGATCCCTCCATCTTCGTATCATTTCAGAGCATCCTCGTCTTCCAAGACCCGAAGCGTCGACAGCTCGATGAAATCAGTGACCCGGATTCCCATGGGCCTGCACCACAGTTTGATGACAACAGAAAAAGGCACATCTGAGTTCAGGCATTCTTTTTTTCTGATCCTGTTGTGTGTGTTCTGTAACTTCTGTTCTGCAAAGGAACAAAGTGATCGATCGAGTGAAGTGAGATGCTAGCTAGCTAGCATGGGTTACCAGTCACTACCATGGGAAGCAGGCCTTCTCCGGCAGCCGCATCCCGAGGCGAGGCCCTTCGTCGAACCCTTCGCAGATCACCTCCCCGCCGTCGTCTCTGTAGCACACCACCCCTCTCACCTGGTCCTCAAACACCTGCGTGCACAGAAAATTCTCACCAAAGAGTCACCCAGCCAGATTCATGTGCAGCTTCACTAGAAGCTATGGGAGCAGTAGCTAGATGGAATGCCGCTCACCGTCTTGATGGATCTTGCGGAGCTGGAGGACGGGTGCTCGTGGCTGCTGTGCGCTGTGGTGCCGCTGAGCCTCAGTGTTGTTACCTTGCTTTTCCTTGTGCTGAATCTTGGGACGGCAGTGGTGGAAGGAAGGCCATGGCAGGAGCTCCTGATCGCCATTATTAGACTCTTGGAGCGAGCCCCGCTTGCCGGTTTTCGAAAATACAAGTGTGGGTGGGGTGAAGTGGTTGATAAGCTCTTTCCAAGAACGAGCTTATTGCATTCTCGATTTGGCACACTGGTGCCTGCCTGACAGTGGTTGGTTGGTGCTGAACAAGATGGCATTTCTTATATGCAATGCTGCTATGTCCACAAGCAACTATCACCAAAAGGAGAATGGCGCACATTTGCTAGTGGAAATTCCTTAATCTTTTTTTTTAAAAAAAATCACAAATATAGAGCTTGAGTTTTTTTTACAAACAGATGTGATAACTAGTAAACACTAGGAGGAATATAACTCCAAATGTTTGAATAGAGAGGTTGCACACAGAGCTGCTTCATTTTCTTTTGGTTCTTTTGGAGGTGTTTTAAGGTTCATTTAGCAGTGTAATCTCATTTGGGTGTAACACATCTGCTTATCATGCTCCTTTAGTCCTTTCAGGGTTTTGCGGGCCTAACCAATCCCACCATAGACATTATCCGCAAGATTGTTAATATTCTCTAATTCGTAGAACCGACAAATCCTTATCTGGGTGATGTGGTACACTAGTATAATATACACAAAACAATTAGATATGTGTTGCCGATGGTGAACAAGACACCAAATCTGGTATCTTTACGACTATTCTGTTCCATGTGGTGTCTCGCCGTCTCGGTCATGATTTACGATTTGAAATGTTTTTTTTAGATAAACGATTTGAAATGTTTATATCACTGTTTGTACTGAAGATAGAAATTGACTTCACCGCTTCAAACATGCAAAGGAATTTGTTCATTACCCCTCACTGCCTCTCCCCATCCAAAATAGTATGTCCAGATCCCACAAAATTCACTCTAGCCAACCAGATTTACCTGTAATGACATGATGGTAACATACTAGTAAGTAGTAACTGCAACTCAAGAAACATCTGCAAGCCCAAATCTCAAGCATGTAGTGTATACATTCCCGCGAATCGGCATAATTACACTCCTGAAAGCCAGATTTCTCTCGAGTCAGCCAGCTATTGTGACTAGTGTGAAGTTACATTGACAACGCATCAACGCCTAGTTGATCCACTGATGATTTATTTACAGAGTGCAATCATAGTTTAGCATCGGAAGGCCGTCCAGGGTTCACATTTGCAGGTCTCTTCTGCAGCAGGGTTTTAGGCCGCAGCACCTCATACCATCCACTGAAAAGTGGACCACTTCCTTATTCACATGTTTTCGAGCCATTCCATCGCCTCTTGGAACAGAAACCCAAGCAGAATACAGTGACTGTATGGCCTCTTCCGACAAACCATTGCAACTAAGATCAAGCACCCTCAATTGCTTTGCTGAAATCAGGGCCTCCGCCAGTTCTTCAATAATCTGACAAGAAGAGTAAGAGTTTTCTGCAATGAACTTGCACAGCTCCTATGTGGACCAGATATGGCAGGGTGGGCATCATTATCTGCTTCATCTTCACTATCTGGAACCTGCATGTTTGCAAAATCTATGTCCCCTGGAGCTATATCATTCTTTGTTTCAGGGTTATTACATTGTTTTTGCTCAGCAGTTGTTGATACTTCCTGCATGTCTTCGTCATACTTTATTGTTCTCTCCGACTCCAAGTTCGTGTTCTTAGAAATGCGCAGCTCCTCTAATTGGCTATTTTCTGAAAGTAGAAGAAGATTATTAACTTGTAGAGACTGATGTTTCAACAAAATTGTTCCTCACCTGATAATGATTGAATAATACGAACAATTCCAGCAAGTCCAAGATTGCATTTGTGAAGGGCGAGAGATCTAATACTGCATTGGGGATTTACAAGCATTCCCTGTATAGCATCACATCCCTGCATAATATAATGTAACACAGCAGATCATTGCTGCTGAAATATGGGGATATATGTTACCAAAGCATATGAGAGTAGGAATTAAACCTCCAGGTTAATTGGATTTCCTCAAGGTTTAACTCAAGAATATTGATCTGAGAGAGATTTGTACAGATTTGTGTGAAATCAGGTGTTGTAAGCCCACAATTAGACAACTCCAACCTTAGCAATTCTTGAGATGTACAAGACAATGCCTCAGTAAGCCTAATTGTCTCCACCTGCATAAACAGCAGCACCAGATGAGATGACATATTGCTTGTGTACAGGCTGCAAACACTAACCACAAATGGAAAACAAAGCCTTTCTTTTTTCTCGAACACAAAGCCTTTCTTTTGAACGAAAAGAAAATGGAAAGCAAATTACCGGTCCAATGGAAGTTCCACCTAGCAGAAGTCCTGATAGGCACGAGGGATTGTGCAAGGAGGCACAGCTTATCAACCATTAACTTGTTCAGTTTTATACCAGTCAGGCTTAGTTCTGAAAACCTGCAACGACAACATGCATGGCTGGTCTATACTTGCCAACACCTTAGTACCTATCAACAGATATGGACAGTTTCTGCTAACCTTGTGAGAGACGCAAGTTTGGATAGAAGGTTAAGCATTGTATTGCTAGAAATTGGGTTGTTCTTTCCTGTCGAGGGTACGGAATTTTTGAGCGTTTGTAAATGGACATTGCTAATATACAAATCAGAAGAGAAGTAGGCCGTCATGAAAACAAGAAGTACCTAATGAGAGATGTGAAAGGACAGACTCTTCATCAAGTGCATCTGTCATCTTCTGAACAGTTCTTGAAGTGATAGAACACTGCTCGACATTCAAGCTATAAAGTGCTGTAAACAAAGCAAATACATAGCATACAGTTTATGAAGCAAAAATAAATGTCTCCTTCCAAAAAAAAAGCCTTATGGCAGTCAATGAAACAAAACAATAAAAATCAGGGAAAGCCCCGGCTAGCCTAGTCTCCAAAAGAAGCTATATGCATTTCTACAATTCTACTGATCTATCAAGTGCTACATACCTTTGCACTTTTGCAGGATTGTGAAAAGGTAAGAACTGCATGCATCAGTGAGGCGATTCCCAGAAAGATTAAGTACTTCCAATCGATTGGTCAAAATAGAGCACTCACATATCTATCCAGTAAATAAGGAGGCAAAAGGTGGCTTAGCATTTTACAGAATATATGCTGTAAAGCAAGAGATTATGTTGACTCGGGTCAAGAAGTGAGATCACTTGGAACAAAAACCAAATGAACTAAAACAAGTAACCAGCTAAAATCCCTAGCAGATTCAGTCAAAGAGGATTCTAGAGTTTGTTTTATAAGAAATATTAATTTCTAAAAATACCAAAGCATCAAGAAATCTTTAGAAACTAACAGATTGTTCATCAGGTTTTTTGTATCTTGTTCCAGAACCATTTTGCAAGAAGACCCAAGGTCTTCCTTTGATAAATAAATAAATACTGGTGGACCTCAAAGAAATGGCTTAAATATCTTGCATTCTTGTAATATAACTCCATTAACAAAGTGTATCAGATTACCACATGCTAGAATGATTTTCCTCATCTTTTTTAAACAGGACACATGTTACAAATGTGCAGAAGCTGAATGCAGAATTTCAAGCCAAAATCCCGATGGGGTGATAGGAGTATCATATTATTTCACTTTGACAGATAAGTTTCTGGGATTGTAAAAACCTGAAATAAAGCAGTTGGACCCAATCGATTACAATGTAAATCCAGAGTCAAGCCACCATATGTGTGACTTGATGAAGCAAATATATGCTGAAGTCTTTCAATTGTTTGGTTTCCTGAGATTTGTGGGCAGGAATAACAAATCAGTCCAATAAGCCATAGTATAAGAGCATAATTATTCTACACCATCCTACAAATTAAATCCACAAAGCAGCACAATCATCAATGAATTACTAACTGCTGAGTGATTCAAAATAATGTCCTTGAAAGGCTACAAAAGTCACGGCTTTAACTGCTTGGAACAGCACAAAGCACTACATAAAAGGGGACTGCTAGAACATGTTATGTGCTGCACTACAACGGCCTAAAGAAACAACCATTTAGCTGTAACTGATTTATAGAGCACTGTTGAAGTAATTATGAAATGAAATGACTGTAATTACTGGAAAAAGGCTACCTAGTAAATTATGAGAAAGATCCAAAACTGCTATTGTTTTATGAGATCTTAGGGCATCAAGAAAGGGCGCAATTGACGTATCCTGCAGTCCGCAATCAGAAACAATTATTTCATCTTCAGATACCTGTCAGAAAATAGAAGGAACATATTTGGCATTAGTTAAGTAGAGCTGCTTTTTGACACTATCATTCACATACGACATACGAGCCATGCATATCTAAAATGTTTACCTCAAGATTATATAGTTTTGTCAGCAGCTTCTTATTGGGTGCTTCTGAGGACTTCATGCAGAAATCAACATACAATTTCATCAGCCGCTTTGGCACCCAATCTTCATTACAAATATGGTACGTCAGAAGATATTGACTGATAAAAATATGGAAATTATGTTTCACAGTTTCATCATGATGTGTTTCTATGGGAAATAATGAACTTCGTCAGTGGAACCAGGGAGAGGGAAAGGGGCACACGCGGGGGAAGGGGTGGTGGTGGGGGACAGACAACATATAGATCTAGCAGGTGCTAGCTCTGTGTGACAAGCTCAAGTACACAATGGGTGCTGAAGAATCCAAAAATAATTTAAAGCTGACAGAGGTAAAAGCTTGTCTTCCAGCCAGAACTCAAAGCCTCACAGCAACTACTAACAAAAAATAGACTGAGGACCTTATTTTCTTATCGAAGAAGTTTAGTGCTCTTAAATAAGGAAACCCGAAAGTTGAGAGCTGCTGCTACATGCCATTTTTCGATAGCCCCTTAAGAGTGAACTTAGTACTGTAAACCATGATGAGTCAATGATAGTCTAAACTTGTATGAGGCAGTGTAATAACCTGCACTGGAAACTTACAGAGATAAAGAGGAAGGTTTCTTAACATTGTTTGGATAGGAACATTGTTAAGAATTTTTCTTATTGTCATTACAAGACAATGGAGCAGTTGGTAAGTTGGCACTATCATTGTAGTAGACTAGTATGATGCAGTATTGCAGTATATAAATTGCATATTCTATATTTCTATTTGGCACTGCATTGTAGTAGGCTACTATGATGCAGTATATAATTGCATATCCTATATTTCTATTTGGCACTGCATTGTAGATTTGTAGTAGGCTAGTATGATGCAGTATATAAATTGCATATTCTATATTTCTATTTGGCACTGCATTGTAGTAGGCTAGTATGATGAAGTATGTAAATCACATACTCTATTCTATTTGTGTATTAGACATTTTTCAATTGTTGAATTTGTTAATGCATATCCTATGCTAGCAATCAAGGAATCAAAGGTGGGTTTCTGGGCAAGGGTTCGCTTGGATTTGAGAATAGATAAATGGGCTCTTCTCCACTGGAAGGTTTTTCTTGCCTACCAGCAAGGCTACTAGGCAAGGAGAGCAAGGGAAACAAACATGCCAAACGATCTTCATGTGTCCTTGTTGTAGACGCTTTCATTGGGAAGCAATACAGCAGGAAGAAGAAGAAGGCGCCAGCCTCTAGTGGCTAGTTTTAGGCCATAGTTATCTTTTCCTATAAGTTAGGATCTGGGAGCCAGTTTGTTAGTGAGTTTGTTAGTGTCCAGCCGGCCATTGGGAGATATAACAAAGGGCCGGCTGATTAGGGAAGTTAAGCAGAAATAGAGCCAGCACGTTCGGAGCCTCCCAGGGAGGGCGAACCTGCTCTACCGCTGCTGATTATCTCTAGATTTAGCCATTGCAATTATCTCCAGTTCATCAATAAAGTTCAACCAGATTACTAGCTCTATCATCTGGTATCAGAGACCTCTCGACCCTCTCGCCTGTCATGGGTGACGAACTCAAGACCACTCTGGATGCCATCCTCGCCGATCTCTCCTCCATCAAGAACGAGGTGACGACGATCAAGGGCGACCAGAGCCGTCTCAACGTGGCCGTCAACCGACTGCAATCGGACCACCACTCCTCCGGCGGCTCCCAGTGGCAAGGACACGGAGCATGGCGCCCCTCCCCCACCACCCCCACGCGAGCACGGGAAGCACAAGCTCCAGTTTCCGCGCTACGACGGCAGCACCGATCCGGTCACATGGCTTCACAAGGCGGAGCAGTTTTTCCGCGCCGATCGCACGGCGGATGACCAGCGCGTGTGGCTCGCCTCCTTCTACATGGAAGGCGCTGCCCAGGACTGGTACTACCGCCTGGAGCAGAACCACGGCGCTCCAACGTGGCCGGATTTCGTCGACAAGATGCAGCGGGCGTTCGGGACGCCGGCGCGCAGCAACCCGCTCGGCGCCCTCATGAGGCTCTGCCGCACAGGGACGGTCGGAGTACAAGGCGCAGTTCTTGCCCATGCTCGCGCTGCCGCAGCCGCTTGAGAGCGAGACCAAATCGACATTTTCACCGGCGGCCTCCGCAATCCGCTTCTGAGCGGACGCCGAGCTCCAACATCCGACCACGCTTCGATGACGCCATGGCCTCGTGGCGGGCTTTCGAACGGCGCTCGAGTTGGGCGAGGACGAGACTCCTCTCGAGCCGCGTCCCCACCCGCACTAACAACACGCCGATTCGGCGGCGCGCCGCCCGCGACTTCCGCACCGCACACGCCTCCTCCCGCAAAATCAGTACCCGCAGACGCCGCAGGCTCCAACCAAAGGCCCACCTCCAAGCAGGCCCAGCTTCAAGCGGGCCGACACGGCAAGAGATGGCCCAACGCAGCGGAGGGGGGCCTCGCTTCAACCGCCCGTAAAAATTCACGGCGACCATGCTCGCATGAAGAAGGGCTCAGTGCTTGATGGAGCTCGATGATGATACACCGCTTGAGGACGCTGCGGTGGAGGAGTCTTCCCCACCGACGACGCCGAGATCTCCATCCACGCCCTCACCGGCATCAAGACGGCGGGACACCATGCACTGCCACATCCGTCGCAGCACATCCATCCGGGCTCGGTGGACTCGGGATCCACTCACTCCTTCATCGCCATGGATATCGCCGACGTCGCCGGCCTCCGACCTGCGCCCGCGCCCGGCCTCACCGTGGGCGTTAACGGGAACGCGTCCCCATCTGCCGGTTCGCGCCGCCGCCCCGTCACCATTGGCACCGAGGAATTCCACATCGACCTCTTCGTCTTGCCCTCCCCGACTACGAGCTCGTGTTGGGCCGCCATCGCTCCGTCCTCGGGCCCCATCCTCTCGACCTCGCCGCTGCATTCACGGCGTTCAGCGCCGGATCGCCGCATTCGCCGGATCGGCATCACAGCCCCTGGGCCGCTCTCCCACGCCACCGGCGCTGGACCTCCTCCAATCGCTTCCTCGGCCGAAGTTCGGCGATATCTTCGACACGCCGTCGTCATCGCTTCCTCCGATTCGTGCTCGTGATCATCCAGTTCATCTCCTACCGAGCACGGGCCCCGATTGCAAAGACGGGCCCTACCGCTACCCACCGCTTTCAAAGATGAGCCGAGAGAGGCGATCTTGCCGACATGCTCCAAATAGGCATCATCCGCCCAAGCACCTCGGCGTTCTCATCGCCCGTCCTCCTCGTGGCGCAAGAAGGATAACTCATGGAGGTTCTGCATTGACTATCGCGCGCTCAACGCAAAAACAGAGCGCGACGTCTTCCCCATTCCCGTCGTCGACGAGCTTCTTGACGAACTCCGCGGTGCCACCTACTTCACCAAGCTCGATCTTCGCAGCGGATATCACCAAGTCCGCATGCACGCCGATGACATCCACAAGACGGCGTTCCGAACTCGTCATGGGCATTTTGAGTTCGTGGTAATGGCCTTCGGCTTGACCAATGCCCCGCGACGTCCGCCCCTTATGAACGAGGTTCTCCGCCTTTCCTTCGCCGCTTTGTGCTCGTGTTCTTTGATGATATTCTCATCTACAGCACGCTGTTCGCCGCACACCGCAACACATCCGTGCTATCCTCTCCACACCGCGCGCCCCACGCCTTTGTTCTGAAGCGCTCAAGTGCTCATTCGCGGGAGCGGGGGTGGAGTACCGGGCCACTTCATCTCCGGCGGGGGTGGCCATGGACCCGCCAAGATTGAAGCGGTGCAGAGTGGCCCATGCCGCGAACCCTCCGCATACACGCTGCGTGGCTTCCTCGACCTCACGGGCTACTACCGCCGTTTCATCCACAACTACGGCGTCATCGCGACCAGCTCACGGCCCTCTTGAAGCGGGATGCTTTCTGCTGGAGTGACACCGCCGCCGCCGCCTTCAACATGCTCAAGTTAGCACTGACCTCCGGTCCGGTGCTGCAGCTTCCCGACTTCACGGCGCCCTTCGTCATCGACTGCGACGCCTCGGGCTCTGGTTTGGCGCCCTCCTCCACCAGAGCGCAGAGACCCGATCGCGTTCTTGAGACGCTGGCTGGCGCTGACAAAGATGCCAAGTTGGTCGCCTACGGCGCTTGAGCTCATCGGATTGGTGAAGGCCGTGCGGCACTGGCGGCCGTATGTTTGGGCACGACCATTCACGATCCGCACCGACCACTTCACCCTCAAGTTCCTCTTGGACCAGCGCCTCTCCACCATCCCGCAGCACACATGGGTCAGCAAGCTATTTGGCTATGATTTCAAGGTGGAGTACAAGCCCGGCCGCCAAAAACGCAGTGGCCGATGCCCCTCATCACGCCGCGGATGAGGACACCGCAAAGATCGACAACTCGCGCACTCTCCCGGGGACTTCGATCTGTTCCCACGAGTTCCGAAGCGAGGCCGAGACATCGCCGGATATCATCGCCAAGCGCCGTGAAATTGACCAGGCTTCTTTGCTGGGCGAATCGACGTCCGTCGATGGCTTGCGTCCCGCATCGGGTCGCCGCATCTTCGTCCCCTCGACACGTCGGCTCTGGGTAGCCCAGTTAAGCCACACTCACGGCAGCGCCGCCATGAAGGCGTCATGAAGACGCCGCACCGCCGCTGCGCGCCTCCTTCTTCTGACCCGCCGCCGGCCGTCTTGTCCGCGACTTCGTGCGGTATCGCACCGTCTGTCGGCGTAACAAGACGGAGCATCTCCATCCGGTACCGCTGCTGCCGCAGCCACCGGACGTTCCCTCACAATCGCTCAGGCCGACATCGCCATGGATTTTGTTGAAGGCTTTCCCAAGGTCGGAGGCAAATCGGTGGTTCTCACGATGGTTGATCGCTTCTCCAAGTATGCACATTTCATCGCCCTCGGCCACCCCTACAGGCGCCACCTCATTGCCCAGCGTTCTTCGACCAGTTATGCGGCTCCACGGGCGCCATGCTCCATCGTCGGCCGACAGGGACCGGTCTTTACTAACGCCTTCTAGACCGAAAGCTCTTTCGCTTTCAAGCGTCACGCTCTGCGCCTCAGCTCTGCCTTCCACCCCCAAACTGATGGTCAGTCAGAGGTCACCAACCGTATTCTCGGCGTCTACCTTCGCTGCCTCGCCGGCGATCGTCCGCGGAGTCAGCGCGGTGGCTGCCTGGCGAGTTCTCGCTATAATTCATCCTTCCGAGACAAACATTGAGGGCAACTCCGTTTGAAGTGGTGTAGAGTCGACCACCGCCCCACCACCCGTGTCAGACGGCCTGTGTCTCTCAAAGGTGGTGCAGACCGACAAGCGACTAACGGCCGAGGATGAGTTCCCAGCTCTTTGTCCGAACGGCTCCTCAAGCCCAGTATCATGAAGCGAGCCATGACTTTCGGCACACCGGATGTGTCTTTCAAGTGTGGCGATCAAGTCGCTCCGCCTTCACCAAATACCTGTAAATGCCTATCGAGTCCAGCCAGAATGCCAAGCTCGCGCCCGCTTCTTCGCCCTTTCCAGTGCTCGGCGCGCATTGGCTCGGTGGCCTACCGCCTCCGGCTCCACTAAAAAGCACGCATCCACAATGTGTTCCACGTGGTGTTCTGAAGAAGTTCCATGGCAACACTCCTCACGACATTGTTCCACTACCTCTGATTGTCCATGGCCATGCTGTTCTCGAGCCCAGATCACATTGCCCAAGGCCGCCTCAACCATGGTGTGTGGGAAGTTTTGGTGCAATGGCTCGGTCGAAGTCCAAATTGTGATTCAACCTCGGGAGCTGCTTGGAAGATTTCAAGGCCACCTATCCCAAATTCCAGCTCGAGGGCGGCTGTTTGAAAGGAGGGTGGAAGTGTTGTAGACGCTTTCATTGGGAAGCAATACAGCAGGAAGAAGAAGGAGCCAGCCTCTAGTGGCTAGTTTTAGGCCATAGTTATCTTTCCTATAAGTTAGGATCTGGGAGCCAGTTTGTTAGTGAGTTTGTTAGTGTCCAGCCGGCCATTGGGAGATATAACAAAGGGCCGGCTGATTAGGGAAGTTAAGCAGAAATAGAGCCAACACGTTCGGAGCCTCCCAAGGAGGGCGAACCTGCTCTACCGCTGCTGATTATCTCTAGATTTAGCCATTGCAATTATCTCCAGTTCATCAATAAAGTTCAACCAGATTACTAGCTCTATCAGTCCTAGTATCCATGCAATAGTAGTCCTAGGAATATAGTTGAGAACAAGGCACTCCATTCTATAAAGACAATGAACATGCATACCATCAATAACAACATCAACACACTTCTGTTCAGAAGCAAGCTGATCATCATAATATATGGATGCCGCATCTTCCAATACCTTTCCACAAAACTTGAGTTCCCCAATGATAGGCAATAGACCTAGAAGTAATATATGAATGTAAGATCCCATCAGCTAGTATAGAAAAATAAAATGCAAAGGCAACAAATTAAACAGTAATTGGCGAGAAAGCAGAACTTAGAAGACAAACCTTTGGCCCTTTTTTCATCAGAAATCTGAAGATAATATACACATGCTACTTCAACTTTGAGAGAGTCAATGCTAAAAGCACCTTCATGTACACAAGCGCGTCCATCCAAGTAAACCAGATGGCCACCGATTCTAAAGGCCCAAAAGTGCTGCAGAGGAAACATACCATTGTATTCAACAAGAATATCCATAGTTGGAGTAACTGGGTAACTTGCAAGTAAATGCCTGATGAGGGTCTGAGGCTAAGGAGTATGCACAGATCCATCAGATTTAACTATGCACCTCCTGCTTCTTCAAATAAATAAATAAATATCAAGAAGTGCCTCTTACTTTTTTTCCTCAGACATGCAAGAGAACTGTGTCATTTTATTAAATAGGGGGGACTGCCCCTGTTCACAAAGTATTATCCGGAAAGAAAAAAAGTCCTGTTCGGTGCGAGGATCAGTTTTAGCACATCAGTGCATGTGTAGACATATCAGAGTAATTGGCTGAAATGACCTGCTATGTTGCATGGTGCAGAATGTTGGCCTACGAAAAGACGACATGTTCAACAGATAAGTGTCGCGGAAATGCATATGTTGCGTTGGATTTGCGGTCATACAAGAAGGGATCGAGTTCGGAACGATGATATACATGATAGATTAGGGGTAGCACCAATTGAAGAAAAGCTTGTCCAACACCGGTTGAGATGGTTTGGACATGTCCAACAGAGACCTCCAGAGGCACCGGTGCGTAGTGGAATCCTAAGCCAGGATAGTAACGTGAAGAGAGGCAGAGGAAGACCGAAGTTGACTTAGGTAGAGGCAATAAAAGGAGACTTGAAAGGATGGAATATACCCAAAGACTTAGCCTTAGATAGGAGTGCTTAGAAAACAGCCTGAACCTTGATGGCTTCTGCTGGGTTTCAACTCTAGCCTACCCTAACTTGTTTGGGACTTAAAGGCTTTGTTGTTGTTGTTGTTCTTTTCACTTGCTGGCATTCTCGAGAAATTATAATTTTGAAAGCATGGAAAGATAGAAGTAGCTATAATACTTACATTATCAGCATCTGTGGATTGAAGACCAACAACATTTTGGCTCTCATGCAGACTGTTTGAGCCACCAGGAGTACTGAACTTGGAACCACTTGCTGCTGATTTGGAGGCTGATCCCTTTCCTACACTGGAAGCACCTAATCCTATGCCTTCAAAAGCATGACCAATAGGACTACTTGATTTGAATGAACAAATACTTTCCTCAGCAGGACAGGGTGCATCCCTTGTTTGATTAGGTTGTAAAGTATCCTGCAGATGGATAGAAGCTCTCAATATCTGGTGCTTCAGGAGAAGTACAATAAAAAGTCAAGAACTGACTGCTTTAAATTGCCATCAACATCTGGTGTAACCAAAGAGAACCAGCAGATGATGTAAACCACATCATGGCCCTTTTAGCATATCTCCAGCTTCGAAAATTTCTTGGATGGGGATATAGTATACAAGAATTCGTGGAACTGGAGCTTGGGAGAGGGATATATTGAGGGTGTTTGGGTGAAGAAATTCTTTTTGCATAGCAAACTAAAAATAGATATTTAAACTGCTATATATTAGCCTAAAACTCTACGCCCATGGGAGCTCAATCCCTGACAAATATGGCTTAGATTTCAATTCCCAGTCAAGAACATAAGCCTAAAGGACCATCAGTCTTTTGTTACCTGGTTTCTGCTGCTGTTTGCTCCATGATCTGCTGGCCACGAAAATGAGGCGTCAATACAACTAGGAGATAAATTTTAGCCATCCCAACATATGAATATGCAATGCTAATCAACGCTGTACCTGAGATTGACATACTATCTGCTGGACTAGTTGATGTCCTTTTAAATTGAACGATTTCAGGATTCTCATCAGATTCATCATCTGATAAGATCACACGGAGACGTTTTCGGCCAACAGAGTGATCAGCACGTGATCTACTTAAAACTGTCCTAGTGCCTTCAGCCATATCACCTAGTTCATCAACCTTCTTAGAAGAACTACGTATGTCTTCAGCCACATCACATAGTTCATCAACCTTCTTAGAAGAACTCCGTATCTTGGGTGCCTTAATCTTGGATGAGCTCCCACTCCTATGAACGAGTGAAGCAAGCGTAACATCATCATCAGGTTCCTCAGAGTAGTTATTTGCAGCCTGCCCATAGTCATTCTCAGCATCAAGCATATTATCTGATGCGCAACCACCTTCAGTGTCAGTTTCTGAGCAATAGTCACTGATAGTATCCCTTGCTTCACATTGATTCAATGTTTGCTTCAGATTGTCTATTTTTTCCTGCATTTTCCTAAAAAAGGAAGTCCCTTTAGTTTGCATAAAATAAAATTCTTTTGTGCAAAATCTGTTCTTAGTAACTTACTTGGCTTCTTCAATATTATCAAATCTGACCATATAACTGTAATGCATATTCTCAAGGGCAGAAAGTTGCACATTAGGTAGGTCTCCTTCCAAAGCAATCCTACATATGATATGATGCAAGCATCAGAAACTAAAGATGGAAGCACCATGCTGTTAAGGACAAGAGCAGTTAATTATTAAAAAAATAGGTGGCACGGGCACAGACCCAACACAATAATGTGACACAAAAACTAAAACGGCAATATGGGATTAAACAATAAACTCTGCAATATGTTAAAAGTATAAAAAATGCTGGATGTTTAGGACAAGCTCAATCCCTTGATATATATAAAGTGTTTCCCTAGAAGATTGGTGCAATACAGAACTAAAGATGCAGCTATAATCAAGATATTAGCACTCACAATTTCTCATTTCTAAATCGCAAACTTTAAAAATATAGTTTCCATTAATACAATAAATGGGTTACATTAAAAAAATACAATAAATGGGTTCTCAAATGCCTAAAAGAAATGTTAATGAATAAAGCCTCCAATGTCATGTCCTATGTGTTGTTCATGGCCATTTACTTAAGATCACAGCATGCAAGCTTACTTAAGATCTTCTGACTTTTGGACAGGAAGACATCAAGATAATACCTGTAGCCTTCTTCGTAAGCTTGCAATGCACCAGGCCAGTCAGCACAAGAATCAAGAACATTGCCAATGTTCACTTTCGCTAATGCTTGTCCCTGAAAGAGGACATCTCTTAGATGAGCACAATTTGAAATCAGAATCATTGCTCGCAAAAAAAAAAAAAAAGAAATCAGAATCATCAACTAAACGAGTACAATGGAAAGGTGGTCATACTAGTAGGAGGCATGACAGCATATTCACAAATACAAATGAGGAAATATAGACTAGTGACTCACCTCCAAGTTCCCAATCGACCGATATATGTCCCAACTTCTCATGTACCACTTACGAGCTTTACTGAAGCTTCTAAGCTTTTGGTATGATTCCCCTATCGACAGAAAAGAATCACTCAACTTTTCCTGATCGCAAAGTTCTTTTGCTACCCTTTTTTTCCCTTTTGAGAATTCCTTGTGCTGGAGAACAAATAGTTACATGAATGAGTCATGAGATTATTATATTGCACCTCAGTGCATTGTTGATATTAGTGAGGCGAGCATAAATGCATTTGTCCTATTTGCACAATGTTTTAATCATTTCAGTTCTGAAATTCAGAAAGTAAATAAACTGATCAATAGTTGGCTTTCAAACATAATATAGCAAATGAAAGTGTTATCTATGATTGGTTTTATCAGGCTCCCACGTTTATGTTATGTCTCAGGACATCAAAATGGGAATGGGCAGTGTGACTTTTCTGACGAAGCTGGTCACACAAAGACTATGTACCAAACCATTTCCCTTGGCACCAATCTAACATTAGAACAGTAACAAATAGTTCCATCAAATCAAGGTTACTTTTCTTTGCATTGCTCAGAGAAGTTTCAGGTTAATAGAGTGCAGTGCAAACATAAAATACAGGTAACTAAGTTGGAAGTTATAATCCCTAATTGTGCAAATAAGTTAGTAAGAGGTTCCAAATAAAACATTCATATTTCTGACAAACAAAACATTATTTCCTATTTCAGTAAACTTTATGTTCAAATTCAGCTAACCAGTTATTTTTTGGAGAGATCATATACAGTTCCAGAACTGCAATTCAAAAGATAAAACCAAGAACAATTGTGTCTCAGTTCTTTCAGTCATAAAAGCTATCATGCTGATTATTCATGCACATGCATAAAATAGGATAAGAAATGAAAAAAAATTCTTACTTGTGAATAAGATCAAAAAATTAATAAAACAAATTCTGCTGGATATGATGGTCCAAGTTTATAGCAAGGTGACTAAAAATCATCTACTAGTTACCATGCAGTTCGCTTACTTTTTTCCATGCACATATAATGCTGGCCTTCTCAATAAGATTATCCAGCCATGCATGCTGATCAAGGAGGAGTTTTCTCTCTTTAGACGTTCCACGAGCATTAGAAGTGTCTCGGACAAGTTTTTTTAGCTTCTGTTCATCCTCCTTCAACTGCTCAAATACTTCAACTGCTTTTGTAACAGTTTCAATATTCTGGTGAATTTGTTCAACTAGAGCATCCTCATCTTCCAAGGATTTTGCTACTTCAAGAGCTTTATTGTAACAACGTTTTGCATAGTCATAATCCTGAACTCGATAATGCAACTCCCCCAGATTTATGTATCCTTTTGCCTCACCTTGAAGATGGCCTATTTTTTTACATATCTGTATATCCTTCCGGATGTGCCCACCGGCTTTTTCCCAATTCTGTAGCTCAGTATACACATTTCCTAGATTATGATGGAGCCTAGTGCGAGCATCATCATATGAATCTACCTCTTCGTCGTCACATATCTTCAGACCCTGGATAAGTAGTTTCTCAGCTTGTTCAAAATTATCAAGTTCCAGCTCAAGCATGCCCATATTATTGTAAGCATCAATAAGTTCTTTTAGAAAGTCTGACTTTTGAGAAGGGGATTTCTCCTTTAGAATCCTTGCCAGCTTCATCAAGATTTAAAATACTTCTTTGCATTCCTTATGGCACTATGGTCACTTTCAGATCTTAGAAGGATCTCATGGTATGTTCTCCCCAAGCTGTGTGGTAGCTCGCTGCTGCTCAACAAGGTCATCAGAATCCTGTGCAAGCTGTAGATGCTTCTTCTGTCAAGCCAACAAACATCAAGGGAAACGGAAGTTTGAGTTCATGTAGCAGAATCAGCAAAATGTAAATTTTGGGTTTATAAAGTGAGGTCTGAGTATTATTCTAATTCTTAGCATCCCAATTATAACAACAAGAGGTTAGCATTTAACACCACAGAGGCAGTGACTAAATCACCTAATGATCATATCTTGATAGATGTACATGTACTGTGACAGGGTAGATACAGCATGATTAGTAATGTAATGTAATCCAAGGTCAATAAGCGTGTGAAACAACTAAAACAATCAACATGTGCTAAACCCAACACTGCGAGCCAAATATAGGCTGAATCGAGGCAGGGGGTCACATATACATCACTAATATCAGACATTTCAAACACTTGATCATATCAGACTTTGATGTACAGACGCACTACTAGAAAGTCCACACCACAGCAGGCATTCAATTGTATATGTATACAGTCCCTAATAACATAATTTGAGAATAATCAAACCCTACAATTGACACTGCAGTCCAAATGCATATCCAGATCAATAGGCCACCAAATGGTCGAAAAACTCATAAATTCAGCACCGAAATTACCACTGCAAGTGGGAATGCATTAGCGTTATACTGCACAGCCCAGCTCCTGTCGTTTTAAACATCTGAAAATTATGGTCGGTACTCGGTAGGCAAGTAATGAGAAGCGAGGCGGGTGGTGGGATGTGAGGACTGAGAGTGACCTGGTATTTGAGCGCCTCCGAGAAATGGCCGAGGCGGAGGTGTACCTCGCCGAGCGACTGGCAGGAAGGGAGGATGTGCCTCTGCGGGAGGTGCTTGACGGAGACCTTGTAGTCCACGCGGAGCCACCGGAGCGCCTCGACGTACTCGCCGCGGCGCTTGTGGATGTCGCCGATGACGTTGGCCCAGCGCGCCTCCTCCTCCCGGTTCCCCTCCGCCACCGCCTCCTGGTACCCGCGTTTCGCCCCCCGCAGCTCCTCCTCCTCCTCCTTCTTCGACCGCCCCCCGCCGTCGCGCGCCATCGCCACTGCTAGGGTTGAGGACCCGAGGCCTGTTTTTTCTATTTTTTTTCTCTTTCCCCACCCAGATTTTCCTTCGGAGGCAAGGAGGGAGAAAATGCCGGAATGGGGATTCTCCCGCCAAATTATTTCGGGGCGCGGCCTCAGTTTCACTATTTTTTGGCTGCGTTTCTCGTGGGCCTAAGTAGAAAGCATACACATAAGATGGGCCACGGCTTGTAGGAGCAGGAAGTGTAAAGCTTCTGGGCTGTGTCACCTCATTGTTCGATCCTTCGAGAAAAGAAAGATAGCCCACGCCCAGGTAGGGCCCAACATCGTTTTCCATGGAGTGCTGGGGCTTGTGTGCTCAGAAGAGCTGGCTGCAACAGCTCTGCAAGCCTACAGCGCCAACACACTGGCAGTGTTAGGACTTTGTTTAGTTTCTCCCCTAAAGTTTACTCCTTGTCCTATCGAATATTTAGGCACATGAATAAAGTATTAAATATAGACTAAAAAATAACTAATTACATAGTTTTCGACTAATTTGCGAAACGAATCTTTTAAGCCTAATTAATCCATGATTTGATAATGTGGTGCTACAGTAACACATGTGCTAATGACGGATTAATTAGACTTAATAAATTCGTCTCGCGGATTACTGACGGATTCTGTAATTTGTTTTTTTTATTAGTATCCGAACACCCCATACGATATCCCCATGTAACACCCGACGTGACACCCAAAACTTTACACCCTGAATTTAAACGAGGCCTATATCGAACTAACCCAATTCGCAGTCCAGTTATTACCTCTCACAAGTCACAAATGCTGATTGAACTTAGTAAAAAAACTTGGCTTTTTTTGTGACTAAAAAAACTTGGTTTTTTCTAGGCAACAACGGGGCTAAGGTCGCCCTCTTGAACTTTGATTAACTATAAACCAAGGTTCGCAAGGACAAGGAATCCCCAAGGGCATGTGAGAGAGTTTACAGGGTTTTTAAGTTACATCACGCGGTCCAAGGCACCAAAATTCTAGAGGATCGGTGTCCAGGGCGATGTGGTGCTCTGATTCCAGCACGCACTGGGCGATCACTCGTCGGGTCGGGTTTACCTTTAAGCTTGTTCGGCTTCTTTTTTTAGTTGGAATAATATTTTTTTCTCGTAACATTTCAGTTAAAATAGTATTTTTTAGCTAATTTTAGTCTAGATTCAGCAAGCCGAACGGAACGGTCGTCGAAGACCATCTTAAGAACAGGTGGTGGTTGTCTTATTCTACCGGACGGAAGGGGCTAAAGGGCGAGCCGAGCGCTCCATGGACCATGTCGCAGCCTCTTTGTGTTGACCGGCATGGTGGTAGACAGTGGCTGGTGCTGAAGGTCGTTGTCCCCCGCCTCAAAAAACACAGTGTTCGAAAAAAAGGAACAAAGTCCTTCTTTAGGGCGTGTTTACTTCCGAAAATTTTTAGCTTTTGGCTACTGTAGCACTTTCGTTTGTATTTGACAAAAATTGTCCAATTATGGACTATTTAGGCTTAAAAGATTCGTCTCACGATTTCTCGGCCAATTGTGTAATTAGTTTTTTTTTTCGTCTACATTTAGTACTCCATGCATGTGCCGCAAGATTTGATGTGACACTTACTGTGCAAAAATTTTTGGTTTTTGGGGTGAACTAAACGGGGCCTTAGTTCCACGAAGTTGGAAATTGGGACTACTGTAGCACCTTTGTTTTTATTTAGCAATTAATGTTCAAACATGGACTAATTAGGCTCAAAACGTTCGTCGCGCAATTTTTCACTAAACTGTGCAATTAGTTTTTTTCCGTCTACATTTAATACTTCATACATAGACTACAAACATTTAATGTGATATATAATATAGCATTTTTTGGGATTTTGAGTGGAACTAAACACGCCCAAAGCATTCCAACCAATACGCTGACGAGTCGTTCTGTTCCTTCATGCCAATCCCATGTCCATACCCCCCGCGTGGCGCGTGCTGATCGCCTGCTTTTCTTTTTCTTGGGAAGGAGCAGAATCTAAGCTTCAGCCTTTGTCTGTAGCAGCCGGTGGACTGGACAAAATCAGAGCCGCGCGCGGTCGTTCAGGTTCAGTGCATGTTTAGTTCTCAAAAGTTTACAAAATTTTTCAAAATTCTTTGTCACATCAAATCTTTACCGCATGCATAAAGTATTAAATATAAATAAAAAATAAAACTAATTACATAATTTAGATAAAATTCACGAGATGAATTTTTTAAACCTAATTAAACTATAATTAAACATTAATTATCAAATAACAACAAAAAAATACTATAATACCACTTCCTAAAAAAATTTCGTCGACTAAACGATGCCTCAGCCAGCGCCCTCCTAGCCGCGAAGGCGTCCACGAACCAAAACAACGCACGGGGTCGGGCCGCCCCGTCAACGGGAGGCATACGGCGCCGCGCGCGCTGCAGCTTTTTACTGGCACCGCCCACGACGCGCACATACGGCGCTGCGGCGCGACAGAGGAGTCATGACTCGACGATATCGGCATCCATCCAGCTGCTGAGCTGCAGATGCAGATGCACCTTCCCAGGTTCCGCGAAAGCCAGCAATGCGTGCAGATGGCCCCATGCCCATTCTTTCTAAAAATACTGCTAGTATCTATCTGTTGGTCTTGGTGGTCTATTTGGAGTTGTTTGGATGTAATTTGTTCATGTTACTAGTATTGCATTACTTGTAGTCACGACAGCTATTTATTTAAATTATTGGTTTGCACGCTGTTTTATGTTGATCACATGATCAGTCGATACCTTGACGTTTGAAACACCACCGGAGCTGTTTTTGTCCAACGTTTTCTAAATCGACTTTAGCTCCACCAATGCAGCTGCTCCAGGAGCCGAAGCTGAAAACTAAGTACTAACCTGCTTCCTATACTCAGAAAATGTTATTTTTGGATTTCTAAACTTAGCTCTAGGTGTCATATAAGTGGAAACGAGTACTGACCCGCTTTCTACACTAACATGGATGTGCCATCTTTGTCGTTTCTGTATGATTTTTTTTTTAATAGTGAGTTTGCATCTCGACTTTCTCGCTTTATAAAAGCAGGTGTTCCTCAGTAAAAAAAAAAGTTTGCATCTCAACTTTTCTTGTGACTACATATATGAATACACCAGGGATGAGCCAGATTTTTTTGACTGAAATACGTTTTTTAATTGATTTACTATGTAATTAAGTTTTGTTTTTTGTGTTCCAATATATCATGCACACTTCATCACAATTCTTGTTGGGTTGCACTTGCACCCTCGTTCGCTTGTGTGCATTTGGCTTAGAAGGATGTGATTTATTTGGTGCCGTGTCTACATCGACGAAGGATGTAGAGAGAGTTAATTCTCGACGCTGTGGAATATGAGAGCGGCAAGTAATCTAATAAGGAAAGAAGTTCCGAATCATGCATGTAATGAGTAATGACAAATATTGAAACAGAGGGTACGAGTACTGGACAGCGGTCAGCGAGAAAGAGCAAGATGCTTGGGGAAATTAGCGATTGATGTACTGGTAGTGCTCTCGCTACATGTTTGAAAGTCAGGTGGGTGCAGGTGCATCTACGCGCTGGTCACGGTCGACTCAGACCGCGTCAAAAACGACTTAGAAATGTTTGCATTCCCAATTTGCATTGATCAGCGTAAAGAACGAAGTACTCTATGGCAGTTGGCAGGTCAGTCAAAAGCGAATTAGGTGGGACAGTAATTTGCTGAAAAACATATTCCAACTTGCATTTGAACTAACTAATTTATTACTTACGGTCACGAGTAGTAGTATACATAGTAATTAAGTAGATTACTTCCACTTACTTTTAGCCTCCATCATCTCTCAGAAAAAAAGTTGATCGGTCACCGCCGACGACTGTGTGTAGTACTAGTAAAAAAACGGCAAGAGCTCGTGCCGCGAATACGACGCCAGCAGCGCCAGACGGCCGGCACAGTGGCAGAACGTGGCTCGTGCACGCGCCTTTCCTTGTCGTACGTTCTCTTCCCTCGTCGCGTGTGCTAGTACGGGTACGACACAACATGATTGCCCACGAGAAAGAGAGAGGAAGCGGCAGAGTGGGTGACGTGACACGGAACGCACCCCATGCAACGCCGTCACCTTTTGGACCTTTGGGGACTCGGGGCTACACCGTCTTCGAGAAGGAATCCATATGCATCTAGCAAGACATCTAAAATCAGTTTTTAATAAATTGGCTATACGGAAGACCTATTTTGATTATCTAAAAGGCACAATTTAAATATGAGCATCCTCTCTTTTGAAAATCTATTTATAGAAATAATTCTCTTTTAAATCTTATTGTTGAAGAAAATACTAAATAGGCATTGAATTTTTTGTCTGTAGCGTTATCTAAAGTAGGTCTTGTATTTTGGGTTGTCCTTGGAGATAGCCTCGGCAGCCGGGACTGAACCGAGACCGATCGGCAGATGAGTTCGGCACGGGTCGCTTTCGCCAGCCGACTTGGGACGCCACGCGCGCGACGGCGCGAGACGGGTCGGGGGCTCGGGTCTAGCGGGAGACTCCGCTTTGGACGGACGGACGGCCGAAAACGTGCGGGAAATCGGCAGGAAGATGGCGAAACGACCACGGTGCCTGCGGGCCGCGCGGGAATGAGGGACGATGGAGAGTCGCGGGCGTTGAGTTGACCGAGCATGCTGTACGGCACGGCAGCAGGCATCTGACTGATCGCTCTCGTGCCACGGTGGTGGCTCCTGGGGACTGTCCGATGAATTTGTTGTAGACATGTGGAACGGGACGACGAGGAGAATTCGAAATGATCCCTGGTGCCGGATTAATAATATTTTAAGGGGGGGGATATGAAATTCAGTTTAGAGGATACTCGAAGATCAATCAATTCCAAGCACCACGAGCATTATTGCTATTATTATTATTATTATTGCTGAGCTCATGGGAGTGCTCATGATGATGCTAGTACTATACGATACGTAGTATATCAAATTTCTTGCTTGCTGATAGAAAAGACCAGGCTAAATC